GCACTGCTTTGGATGGTGTCAAGTTTCTCGACTGTTAGAACTGTGCTCGTGCAGGCAATTGGGGAACATTCCATCACGCTCCTGTCTTGTGCCTTGTAGATGGTGACCAAGCTTTGTGGAATCAGGAGATGAGTTACTCACGGCTGTATTCCAAGACTCTGACTTGCTCGTGTAGCCTCTGTACTTATATGGTGAGCCCAGTTTGATTTATAGTCAGATAAGCCCCCAGGATGCTGATAGCGAGAGATTCGGTGAACTTAATGCCACTGAATGTCAAGGGGCACTGATTTAAATTGTTGCGTGGCATTTGTGTGGCTCAAACGTTACTTGCCACCTGTCAGTCTAAGCTTAGATATTGTCCAGGTCTTGCTGCTTTTGGATATGGAGTGCTTCAGTATCTGCGGAGTTGGAAATATTGCTGAACATTGTGCAATCATCAGCAAACATCCCCGCTTCTGGCCTTGTAATGGAGGGAACGTCATTGCTGAAACAGCTGAATATCGTTGGGCCTAGGACACTACCCTGAGGAACTCGTGCAGGGATGACTGACATGTAACAACCACAATCATCTTCCTATGTGCCAGTTATGACTTTAATCAGTGGAGAGTTTGCCCTGATTACCTGTAACTTCAATTTTGCTCAGACTCCTTCATGCTGCACTTGGTCAAATGTAGAGATAACAAGGTGTAGAGCAGGCCAAGCAGCATCAGAGGAGCAGGAAAGCTGACATTTCGGGTCTGGACCCTTCTTCAGATGTAGGCTTGATTTCAAGTGCAGTCATTCCCACCTCTGGAATTCCGCTCTTTTGTCCATGTTTTAACCAAGGCTGTAATGTGGTCATCTGAGTGGCCCTGGCAGAACCCAAACTGGGCATCTTCAAGCAGATAATTGCGAAGCAAATGCCGCTTGATAGTACTGGTGATGACACCTTCCATCACTTAACTTTTGATTGAGACTAGTCTGATGGTGCGGTATTTGTCCTGCTTATTGTGTACAGGACATACCTGGGAAATTTTCCACATTGTTGGATAGATGCCAATATTGTACCTGTACTGGAACAACTTGGTAGGGCTACATAAAGGTCTGGAACACAGACCTCTTCAATACTAATGCCACAATGTTACAGGGTCCATTAACCTTTGCAGTATTCAGTGCCTCCAGCCATTTCTTGATTATCATGTGGAGTGAATCAAGCCGATAGCAGACTGGCATCTGTGATGCTGAAGGTCACTGGAGGATTCTGAAATGGGTCATCCACTTGGATCAGTCTTCAGCTAGAAATGTTGAATACATCAGTCTTGCCTTTTTGAACTGATGTGTTGGGCTCTTCCATCATTTGAGGGTTGGGTTTTTGTGGAGTCTCCTTCTCCAGCAAGTTGTTTAATAGCCCATCATTGTTCACGACTGGATGTAATGGGATTGTGGATCTTAAATCTGATCCGTTAATTGGGGAATCGCTTAGCTTTGTCTGTCAGTTACTGCTTATGCTGTTTGGCATGCAAGTAGTCCTGATTTATAGTTTCATCAGGCTGACATCTCATTTTAAGTATGCCTGGTGCTGCTCCTGGTATGCCCTCCTGCTCTCTCCATTGAGCCAGGTTGATCCTCTGGCTTGATTTGTAATGATTGGGTAGGGGAATATGTTCAGCCATGAGGTTGAAGATTGCATTGGAGTATGATTCTGCTACTGCTGATGGCCCACAATTCCTCCAAGGATACCCAGTTTTGAGGTGCTAGATCTGGGGAAATCTGTCCCATTTAACAATGGTAGTGTTACACAACAGGATGTAAGGTATTATCATTGTGAAGGTGGGACTTCGTCTCTTTGAAGACTGTGTATGGTGGTTACTCTTACCAATATTGTCATGGACAGATGTATCTGTGACAGGTAGGCGCTGACAAGGAGGTCAAGGATGTTTATCCCTCTTGGCTCCCTTGCCGCCGACTGCAGACGTAGTCTAGCAGCAGTGTACCTTAGGATGTGACCAGCTTGAGTGATGGTGCTGTTGAGTCACTGTTTGTGGTGAACGATGAAATTCCCCCATCCAGAATACGTTCTGTGCCCTTACCACCCGTGGTGCTTCCTTGAAATGCTCTAAACATGGAGGAGAACTGACTCATCAGCCAAGGGAATGAGGCACCTGGCAATCAGCACAATGTTTCCTTGCCCATGTTGAGCTGATGCCATGAGACTTCCATGGTGTCTGGAGTCAATTGTTGTACAGTGGGTAGCATATGTTAACATGGGTGAAGGAGTGATCAGTTAACAGGATGCAGAGAGTTGGTGATAAAATAGGTCTTTTCAAGTTGGCATGACATTTCTAAATGTGGCACTGGGATTAGTGATAGGTCCTCAAATATTTACAATTCTTAACATTGATTTGAATGAAGGGTCAGACTATGGTATATGGATGTGTGAATCACACCAGAATGTGTAGATCGGTATGTTGTCATGAGAGATTGGCAGTCTGTAAAGGCTTGTAGGTAGATTGTGATTTTGGTATTGGCAGCCATTTTGGCAGAATGAGTAAAACATGAGTTAGTGAAATTTTAAAGTAGTACGCTGTTGAAGTTATTTTTATTCATTTATGGGATGTGGGAATTGCTGGCCGAGCCAGCATTTATTGCCCATTGCCCATTGCCCATTCCCCGTTGGCCTAAGACAGTGGTGGTCAGCTGCCTTCTTGACCTGTTGCAGTTCATTTGGTGTAGATGCACCCACAATGCCATTTGAAGAAGGAATTGTAGGATTTTGATCCTGTACCATTGAATAATGAGACACTTCCATGTCAGGATGAGGAGTGATTTGAAGGGTGGTGGTGTCCCTTTGCATCTGCTGCCCTTGGCTTTCTATATCAGTGATTGTGTGGGTTTGGAAGGTGCTGTCTAATGAGTGAATCTGTGCAGTGCATCTAGTAGATGGAACCCGCTGCTGCTGAGTGTCAGTGTGGAGAAAGTGATTGGCACTACAAGCAAACAAGCAGACCGCTTTTTCTTTTATATGGTGTCAAACGTCTTGTATTTTGTTTGAGTTACGCTCATCCAGTGTATGGGGAGTATCCCATCACGTTAGAACATAGAACATAGAACATTACAGCGCAGTACAGGCCCTTCGGCCCTCGATGTTGCGCCAACCTGTGAAACCAATCTGAAGCCCATCTAACCTAAACTATTCCATTA